ACAATATCCTCGGCCCCGCTGGATAGCAAGTTTTCTCCGAAGTGCCGATTTCAACTGTCAGCGTTGTCAACAGCCTGCAAAGCCACGTAGCGGGTGCAAGGAGCCACCCGATCAGTGCCCAGACAAAAGTATCGAGAATCAAATTAGATCGGAGGGAAACCTCGGCTCTCTGTCTCAGGCAGAAACTAGCTTTTGGCATCTCGAAACACAGCATCAAAGCATGCTCTATTTCAGCACCGCACACGTTTGGTGGCAGCACCTACACATGTTTCATTCACCGGAACGCAACCGAACACGCTTGTTTCTTCCCTGGGTGGGCGTTGCGCGCGGCGTGTTCATCCGTGTTGCTCACCGGGCCGTACAACGTTGCTGCAGATTATCTTTTCATTTATCAACCGACGGGGGATATTTTCAACGGCAACATTTCGTTCTGCACACACACACCCTCCCTCGCTCTTGTCGGGGGAGCAGATGGGGTATCGCTTCGGGCGAGACCAGTGGCGACACCTTGAATGTTTTCCTTCTGTTGCTGTTGCCGCTGCAGTGGCTCTTGTGGTAGGCACGTTAATTGTCGCTGAAACCTCTGCCCACAATCCTTTATCTTCAGCCCTCAAGACAAGACACATTTTTTCGCGTGTGACGAGCTGATCCAACATTTGATCGAAATAACAGATATACCAAGACAAAACAAGAGCCCTTTGCCCCGGTCGCTCGGAAGCTGGATCACAAAGTATGCTTCCATTTTACTTTCCATGTCCAATCTGTCCTTGTCGTCAGTCTGTTTCTGCTTGTCCATGTTTAACGGACCAGCCGTGTCACACATCAGGAATGCATTTTTTTTTAGTGCGGTGCTGGTCATCAATTACCAATGCGCGAAGGGTTCAGCAGTCCCGTCCCTCTTTCTTGTGCGTACTCGCGACTGTGCGCTCTTGAACGCTAATTTGCGAGATTTTTTATTCCGGAGAGATTCAAACCTGTGATCTATGTAGAGCTGGATGGTTTGCTGCTCTCTTGTGACCAAGCGCAATACATCATCAAACAAACTCAGTAACGCATGCACTGTTCACCTAAAGAATATCATATCTCTTCCGTACGAGGCCAGGGAGTGTTCCTCGTTGGTGCTTTCTTGGCCGGCCTGGCCAACCCCACTCCACCGCTTGGATGTGTGCATGGTATCACCGCGGGAAACATCAAGGTGCCGCCACACCCTGAAGCCTAGGCCCCACGAGGGAATGATTCGAGCGAAGCGAGATTTCTAATCTGGACTGCCGGCCCCCCGAGTTGCAAGGGCTTGCTGAAACCCAAAAACTTGCACGTCTGTACGCGCTTTATCTAGGTTTTACGGTGTTGTCCTCTTACTCGCTTTTAGACTACAGGGGTCAGCAGACGCACTTTTTTTTTTCGGAGGACACCGCGGATTGCAGTAGAGAAAATACGCACTGCGGGCGACACCACACAGCAGACACTATATGCACAGCATACAGCGTACGCATAACAGGCGACACACACGAACAGCGGGCGACAGCATCTGGGCTCGATGCCGCTGGACTCTCTGTGGTGTGATGAGGCTATGGTATTGCTGTCGCGCATGATTCTTTTTTACGGCCACGCTGCCAGTAATGTGAGCACAGCTCCACATTAGTTCTCGAAACCTACGACGCCGCTCGCCATCGCACCGCTTCGAGCGTGTGATCCATTGTAGTGTCTCTGGGCGTGATAATTGTGTTGGGCATGGGTGCTGTATGTGGCGAGAGCATCGTGGCGATGTGAACTCTGGTTTGGCTTTTTCGCATGCGGCCCGATTGCCCGGGCCAATAAAACGATTTGGATTCCACGCCGCCACGAAGGTCTTCCCACGCACAGAACACATGCCTAACACAACTGTCACGCCCCGAGATATCGCAATGGAGCACACGCTCGAAGTGGTGCCATGACGATTGGTGCGCTAGGTGACGAGAACTGATTTGGGCCCTGCTGTTTCGCTGGCAGTTGGAAAAACACCGAGCAAAATAGAATGAACAGGGGTTCAGCAATAGTATGCGGGGGGTATGTATGACCACGAAAGCGGGATGTGTACGGGGGGGGGGGTTACCGGTCGGTGAAAGTTAACGACTATCTAGTTCTCACAGTTGTAGCGACAGCTATTTAGTATATCTTATCGCCATTCCCATTAGTCTCCTTGAGACGAAAGTGGGGCCGATACATCCGAATTGCGAGACACCAGCACCCACCGCTTCAAGTATTATTGAGCTGCACCTGCTCCCCCTTTCATGCATGCGCTCGCGTGTGTGTGAGTGGTGTTGCTGTTGGTCGCCTTTGTTCTTTTTTCCCGTAGCTTCATTACGCACCGATGAAATTTGTAGTCCACCAGCATTGATGACGAGACCTAATCCAGGCCAACCTACAGCAGTACTTGTCACGAACACAGCCTTCAGCTTCGTGCATACCCAACGGCACAAGATTTTCGCTCGCTACTGCTGTACAAATCGAGTGTTCCTGTTGCCCAATCGTGTGGTTGTTGTGTGCGAGTCTCTCTGTTAAATGCGGTGTCGCCAAATTGGGCACCACTCCTGTTGGCAGGTACTCTAAATCTGGAGACTAGACCCTGGTGTCCAATCTCCTCTCCGACCCTACTAGCGTACGATCTAGGGAGCCTCCAGACCTGTGTGTCATGTGGACGAGTTTCGTCTCTCGAAACTCTGTGTTTTATCGTTCATCAGCCAGCTTGCGCGGTTAATGTTGATTAAAGCGGCACGCACACTCTCGGTATTCTGGATTTTTCGTCCCGAAACATCTGACACGTTTTCATTATTCAGCCAGTACACGGTGCGCCGTCGACTCAACTTGCCACAAAATACACAAAACCGACATCTCACGTAATTTCTACAGTTAGCTTTGTATCTTGAGTCGCCACCAAGCGCGCGGTGGTGTTTTAGGATTTTGTTTTCCTCATGCCAATGCTACCTCCATCCCAACCCCTAGAAGGCAAGGGATAACTTTGGTAGTTTCGAACGCGGCCGATTTGTCAAACGCCAGCTGTTCCTGGATGTCATTACCCCCTTTCCATCTCACCCGGGGGGAGGAAGGGGCCAAATTTCAGACGGACGCCGAGTTCACCACTGGCAATCTATGTCCTCAACATGGATAGGTCGTCTCGATCGCAGCACCATGGCACTGTACAACTCGATATCTTCGATTGATTCTGGGACGTTTTGGGCGTGGTTCGTGTTGAGAAATATGCCGTTGAGTGAAGCCCGCCGACATTGAGTCCAAATGACATTCACTGGACTTGATTGTATTTTTTTAACTGAACAAAATTGAGGGCCGACCGTTGCCAAACGTCCTGACCCATGACGTCATAACTCGATTGCGTGTGTACAAACAGTACCATGCCGTTCTACCCCAGAGCTCTGATCCGCCTTGCCTCTGTATCATTCGTGCCCTCGGTTGTCAGCTCCAACCAAGAGCCACCCAAGCGCCAACGGACGAAATCCGCGTCAGGAACAAAGGAGCTATGCGGGGGCGGTGGTGCGGCGGCAACACATAAGACGGCGAGTTTGGTTGGAGCTCCAGCGATTCTACGTGAACAAATCAAGCGTATCGTATGCTTTGTTGGCCCGTGCATGGTTTTGGTTAGGTTCGTTTGGTACGTCACTCACGCGTTGCCTACTGTCAGGACAGCTGGTGTTTGGTGTTTGGTGATTGTGTGGTGATAGGGTGTTTGTTTGATGGTTGAGTAGCTTCGGGGGGGTTGCTGCTGGGAAATTTATCAGTAGTGCACAGCTGGCGGTAGCATCGAGCACCGGTGAAACCAGCATTCGCGGCTAACACACACACCGGGTCTGAAAGGAATTCGGCCAAGCTTGCAACCCTAGCTAGGTGTGCTCATGTTGGTTCCGACGCTCCGTACAACCCCCTGGGGCAGGTTTGGTTTTGAATCTGTCTGAGAAATGGCAAACGGAAGTCTTGCACAGTTTGTGTATCGCTTGTTTCATTACTTTTAGCGGAGAAGCCGCCACTAAGCGCCGCCACTCACTTCGAAGCTATTGACTGCTGGATGCCAGCAACACGGGGTTGAAGCGTTCCTGTTTCATTCAAAAACCTTGTTTCCTCTGGTGCACGTGGCCCATGCAACTGCACGAAAACGTGCTCGATACTTACCCAGTTGGCCCGTCCAAGGCTCGCGTTGATCGCTCTGCCTGATGACCGACTCGAAACGGCGAACCCACTCCGCGTCTCGTTGCGGGCAGCCCAGTAGTTCATTTCTATTAGACCCAGTGTTGATGCTGGTGGTGCATCGGGAACAGGGTATGTTTCGAGGGGAGTGACGGAGGCAGGATCTGCCACCATTGTAGTTCATGAAGCCAATATGTCCTAGCGCTTTTTGAGTTATCGGCGTGTGTCTGAAGCCTTCTGTCTGAACCTAATAGTCAGTGTCTTGTCGAGGAATCCGCGCTTGAACCCCGGACCGCCAAACAGATCGAAAACAGCTCAATACGAGGGCGAGCTGCCAGTCGGGGCGTTTGTCGGTGGCGATATCCCATGCGAGGAAATGTTGTTCAATGAGCATCACGCGGTCTCCCGTGAGCTTGGACATAAGTCGGGAACTTAGACTTCACGAAGAGCACGCACTGAACACATTTCTGTAGACTCATTCTATCCCCTGGCGAAAAACACAGCGTGTACATAACCGAGTTTCAACAACGGATTAGTGGCAGGGCATTCATGTTGATGTCGGGTGTTGAGCTGGCGTTCGGTGCTGCGCCGTGACACGCGCTACTTGCTTGCTGAGAACAACAGAACAACACCTGATGAACACGGCAATTGGTTTTCTGATCGATTTTGTTCTGGACTGTACGTTTCTGTAGTCGACGCGTGCGACCACCAGACACAATGGACCGGGACAGTGCTGCCAGGAGGACGGCTGTACAAGGCGACGGGGATTTGGTAAGGCCGGCAGCAAGAAGGCGGAGTTCTGCTCTCAGCACGCGGAGCCGGACATGGTAAACGTCGTCACCAAACCGTGCGGTCACCCAGGGTGCACGAAGAAGCCGTCATATGGTAAATCCGGCACCAAGAAGGCAGAGTTCTGTTCTCAGCACGCGGAGCCGGACATGATTAACGTCGTTCACAAGAATTGTGGCCACCTAGGGTGCACGAAGCGGGCGTCATTCGGCAAAGCCGGCACCAAGAACGCGGAGTTTTGCTCTCAGCACGCGGAGCCGGACATGGTTAACGTCGTCGTTCAAAAGAGGTGCGGCCATCCAGTGTGCATGAAGCACCCCGTATTTGGTGAAGCCGGCACCAAGAAGGCGGAGTTTTGCTCTCAGCACGCGGAGCCGAACATGGTAAACGTTCTTCAAAAGAGGTGCGGCCACCCAGGGTGTACGAAGCAGCCGTCATTGGGTAAAGCCGGCACGAAGAAGGCGGAGTTCTGCTCAAAGCACGCGGAGCCGGGCATGGTTAACGTCGTCAACGAGCGGTGCGGCCACCCAGGGTGCATGAAGCGGGCGTCATTCGGTGAAGCTGGCAGCAAGAAGAGGGAGTTCTGCTCTCAGCACGCGAGGCAGGAAATGATTAACGTCGCCCACAAACGGTGCGGCCACCCAGGGTGCACCAAGCGGGCGTCATTGGGAAAAGACGGCAGCAACAAGAGCGAGTTCTGCTCTCAGCACGCGGAGCAGGGTATGGTGGGCGTCGTCAACAAGAAGTGCGGTCACCCAGGGTGCACGAAGCATCCGTCATTTGGTAACGCCGGCAGCAACAAGGTAAGGTTCTGCTCTCAACACGCGCAGCCGAACATGTTTATCGTTACCCGCAAGAAGTGCGGCCACCCAGACTGCACGAAGGGGGCGTCCTTTGGTAAAGCCAGCGACAACAAGCGTGAGTTCTGCCCTGAGCACGCGGAGCCGGACATGGTTAACGTCGTCCACAAGATGTGCGGCCACCCAGACTGCACGAAGCGGGCTTCATTCGGGGTAGCCGACAGCAAGAAGCGTGAGTTCTGTTCTCAGCATGCGAAGCACGGTATGGTGGGCGTCGTCCACAACAGGGGCGGCCGCCCACGGTTTACCCAGAAATCGTGACAGTGAAAAGACGGCAGTAAGAGGGCGTAGCTTCATGAGGTGGCAGGCTGGCGGACGAAGAGTTTGGGGATTGAACGTGGTGTGTAGTGTGGGAGAAGAAGGGTCATTTCTTCGCGGGCGTGCCTTGCTTCGTGTACAAACTATGTGTGCTGCCGTTGTGGGATTATTGGAGTTGTTGTCATGTTGTGCAACGTTGCCCGATGATGGGACCGATAGCATCATATCGCACTTCGTTCAGTGCAAGTTCTAAGCATCACCAAGCTGTCCGAGCTTCGAGGGACATAGCGGAGAAATCGGGGCAAGCCCAAAAGCCTATTGCACTGCCCTCGCTACGGATTGGGGAACTTGCTTTGCGTATGGCGGCTGAGGGCAGGAAATTGACCAGTAGCCCGGGGCACAGGAAGATGAACTTTAGCCGAAAAGCTTGATACAGTAGGACTGGCGAGTGGTCTCGTCGATGCCATCGGGAGGCAATTGGGGGAAATCACGGCGTGGGGTAGCCAATTGACAGAAAACCGCATGGCAAGAGTAGTTAGTGTCACTATGACCTCGAAGTTGTGGAAGAAATATATACGGCAATGCTATTTGGTCCACCGGTGGAGTAACCTCGTTTTGGCTGCACCAGGCAGATCTCCACCCACCGAGCCCCAATCGACCTCAAACTAATTGCATCGGGTAGGTATGGACTACAGCTAATGCAATGCTACTTAGAAGCTAAAATCCGACCCGTGGCTGCAGAGATATGCCGAAATGGGGGTTCCGCAGCATGTCAGGAAGCATTACTCGTCTCGAACCTCCGTCCGCACAGCTCTATTTGACCTCATACCTTTTGCGCCGTGTCCGCGTGGTTCATGCCGTTCTTCCAAGCTACCGGATACGCCCATCCGAGATGTTCCGGCAGAGATATGGCCAACAGAGGGGGTTCCGCAGCATCTAGGGACGGGATAAATGTCAAGCGTCCCGCTATACCTCCCGTCACAAAGCTGAACCGCGCCTAACTCTGACCGCGCCGTGTTGGCACGGCTCACAGCCGTTTTTCAAGCAATCGTGCACCCCAATCGAACAAGTGGGTGCAGAGAAACGCCCACCCGAGGGGGCTCAGCGTCTCGACGGCCGGTGGAACAGTTAAGATTAACTGCTCCACCAGTCCAAGCTCTACTTACAGGGCGCTGTTTGTCTCACGAAGACTTGCATTCCGTTAACACGGCTCACAGCAATCATTCAAACCATTGGACACCCCAGTCGGACGAGTGGATGTAGAGAACCGCCCACCCACGGGGGCTCAGTGGCTCAAGGACCGGTGGAGCAGTTAAGCTCAACTGCTCCACCAGTCCAAACTCTATGTAAAGATGTACAGGGTGCTGTTTGCCCTACCAAAGCTTGAATTGTGTCGGCACGGCCCACAGCTATCATCCAAGCCATGGGACACCCCGGTCGGACCAGTGGATGGACACCCGCGGGGGCTCAGCGGCTCAAGGGCCCGGTGGAGCAGTTTAGCTTATCTGCCCCCCCAGGCCGAACTCTATCTATTTCCGGGCACTGTTTGTCTTGCGAAGATTTTCATTGTGTTGGCACGGCTCACAGCTATCGTACAAGCCATCGGGCACCCCGATCGGACAAGTGGGTGCAGAGAAGCGCCCATCCACGGGGGCTCAGCGGCTCAAGGGCCCGGTGGAGCAGTTTAGCTTATCTGCCCCCCCAGGCCGAACTCTATCTATTTCCGGGCACTGTTTGTCTTGCGAAGATTTTCATTGTGTTGGCACGGCTCACAGCTATCGTACAAGTCATCGCGCACCCCAATCGGACGAGTGGGTGCCGCGAAACGGGGCTCAGTGGCTCAAGGAACTGGTGGGGCAGATAAGCTCATCTGTTTCACCGCTTTGGAGCCGTTCCCTCGTCAGATTCACTATTTTCTTTTGTCAGATTCACGGTACTCCCTAATCAAATACGCTGTATTCCCTGATCAGATGCCATGTATTCTTTCATCAGATACACTGTATTCCCTCGTCTAATTCACTGGATTCCTTCATCAGCATCACGACATCCCTCGCCAGATTCACTGTATTCCACGACGTACAGCGTATCTGACCAAGGAATCAAGTGGATGTGATGAGGGAATACAGATTGAAAAGTACAACGAATACAACGGTGTACGTGATATCTGATACGGGAATACGGAGTGATCTTGACCAGGATGTACAGCCGATTTGAATCGAGGGAGCGCAGTGAAACGAACGAGTGAATACGGTGTATCTGATGAGGGAATACAGTGAAAAGCAGAAGCAATACGGTGTACCATACGATAAGGGAATACAGTGAATCTGCTCAGGGAATACAGTGTTGGCGTATCTGATTAGCAAATACAGCTGTATGTATGATCTCATGAGACACACTGTCAGTGCATCTGTCCAGGAAATACAGTGTATACTACATCATATTCCCTAGGGCACTGCGTCGTCCAAACACCGCGCCAAGAGGCGCCAGTAAGCAGAGAGGAGTGCCCACAACGGAGGTAGGGTGCCCGTTGTTGACATGGAGTGTCGATATTGTTGAGAGAAAATGTTCCGAACCACCAGGGAAGGCCATTATGGGGGGGTGGGGTGCCCGATAGTCGGGGGGGGTGCCCGTTATCGAGGGGGGAGTGCCCGGGGGTGCCCGTTTGAGAAGATTTATCTGTGTCCAGGGGCTACCCCTATCCTGCCACATGTCTTCGTAAGACAAACAGCGCCGTTTGGCCTGGTGGTGCAGATAAGCTTATCTGCCCCACCAGTTCCTTGAGCCGCTGAGCCCCGTTTCGCTGCATCCACTCGTCCGATTGGGGTGCGCGATGACTTGTACGATAGCTGTGAGCCGTGCCAACACAATGAAAATCTTCGCAAGACAAACAGTGCCCGGAAATAGATAGAGTTCGGCCTGGGGGGGCAGATAAGCTAAACTGCTCCACCGGGCCCTTGAGCCGCTGAGCCCCCGTGGATGGGCGCTTCTCTGCATCCACTTGTCCGATCGGAGTGCCCGATGGCTTGTACGATAGCTGTGAGCCGTGCCAACACAATGAAAATCTTCGCAAGACAAACAGTGCCCGGAAATAGATAGAGTTCGGCCTGGGGGGGCAGATAAGCTAAACTGCTCCACCGGGCCCTTGAGCCGCTGAGCCCCCGCGGGTGTCCATCCACTGGTCCGACCGGGGTGTCCCATGGCTTGGATGATAGCTGTGGGCCGTGCCGACACAATTCAAGCTTTGGTAGGGCAAACAGCACCCTGTACATCTTTACATAGAGTTTGGACTGGTGGAGCAGTTGAGCTTAACTGCTCCACCGGTCCTTGAGCCACTGAGCCCCCGTGGGTGGGCGGTTCTCTACATCCACTCGTCCGACTGGGGTGTCCAATGGTTTGAATGATAGCTGTGAGCCGTGTTAACGGAATGCAAGTCTTCGTGAGACAAACAGCGCCCTGTAAGTAGAGCTTGGACTGGTGGAGCAGTTAATCTTAACTGTTCCACCGGCCGTCGAGCACTGAGCCCCCTCGGGGTGCCCCTCGGGTGGGCGTTTCTCTGCACCCACTTGTTCGATTGGGGTGCACGATGGCTTGAAAAACGGCTGTGAGCCGTACCAACACGGCGCGGTCAGAGTTAGGCGCGGTTCAGCTTTGTGACGGGAGGTATAGCGGGACGCTTGACATTTATCCCGTCCCTAGATGCTGCGGAACCCCCTCTGTTGGCCATATCTCTGCCGGAACATCTCGGATGGGCGTATCCGGTAGCTTGGAAGAACGGCATGAACCGCGCGGACACGACGCAAAAGGTTTGAGGTCAAATAGAGCTGTGCGGACGGAGGTTCGAGACGGATAATGCTTCCTGACATGCTGCGGAACCCCCATTTCGGCATATCTCTGCAGCCACGGGTCGGATTTTAGCTTCTAAGTCGCATTGCAATAGCTGTAGTCCATACCTACCCGATGCTTATTTGTCCCTCTCTCTGCACGTTGCTCGATACTTCCCCCTTGGGCTCGGAAATCCGATCCTTGTTATTGCAGGGGTGCTTAAGGTGCGTTGTTTTCGACGGAGCTGGGCGGAGCGGATCGTCTTTCACCATCCCTTGAGCTTCAATAGTATGGCTATGTGACATGAGCTAAAAATTCTCAGTGAATCGCTCCGCTCCTTGAGGTCTGGTAACATCCCGTGCGAGCTTTGTTTTTGTACGGAGGGGGCGTTTCTAGTTACTCGACCAGTGTAAGGAGCGTTGACTGGATACTTTAAACTCGAATCACCTATTGGACCCACGACCAGGAATCGTTATTGCCGATAACAAAACCAGTCAATCTGTAGGTCTGGCTAGTAGTTGTGCGTATTTGAAGGTGGGCATAGTACTTGAACTCTCCGACCATGAAGTCACTTGCAACTCCACCCTCCTCAGCTGGACTGTCAAGGTATGCAATGTTGGTAACCTCGTGGTTTGAGAAAAGATATTGTATTGTCGAGACCTTGGGTCGAGAGACAGGGTAGCAGAGTGGAGTGAGCTGGGTGCGCGAGCACCGCAGCACCAGCCATGTCGCTCGACCAACACACAAAACATGGAACTCGGACCAATGTACTATCCGACATACCGAGAACACGCTCGGGTCTATGAACCATCCGACATACATACCGAGAACATCCACGAAGAACATTCCTAGAAACATTCCTACAAAACGACAGTCCCGTTAGTTGAACTTCCTGTCAGTGTTCTATGCTACTCTGTCGACACACAGCAGCAATTATCACGAACACGCTCCCTTGGGGCTGTTGTCTCGACCAGGCCAAATATATATCAGAAATAACAAAACACGACTCAAACTTCTACTTCTCAGATCTTGAGCCTAGAGCAAAATTACGACGAACTAAAAGATCTCTCGGCAGAGCCTTCGTCAGGATGTCTGCATGCTGTCCTTCGCTAGAGACATGACTGATTTCCAACACTTCCTCTGTCAAATTCCTATAAAAATGGTGCCTCACGTCAATGTGC